AAACCTGTTTCTCATCTGCAGTCTCTCCAGCTGGCAATAGATCTAGGACTAAAGACCAAATCTATAGGGCTGTCAGCAAAATACGGCCCCTCAGTCAAGATCAAATCAAGGTGTGGCTGAAAATCCTTGTTAAGACCATTGAAAGATTAAATGTAACGCTTAGTCCACCACACAAACTAAAGGCTTTCTCAGACTCATGTCATCAGACACGTGGCCTGTCTAAAAAGGAATTGTGGAGTGGAGTAGACTAGAATCAGATTCATTTAAAATGCACACATGTTTAAGACAATTGCATCAGATTGAAATAAAAAAGACAACTGCAATAAATGAAGATAAACTCTCCAAGCTTCGACTGGCAGAAATCAGATTGAGAAGACCACTCAGCTACAAACACAGGTTATTTCCTATGGAAATGTAAATAATGGGGAGAACTGGGGCATATGCCCAGCTGGATTTCAGAATTGCCATTGATCAGTGATCAATCAGTGTTTCCTGTTCTTCCTCTTCTTGAACAGAAGTGTCTGTTGATCAGCACTACCTCTTGGGGGACAGAAGGAACAGAAAAGTTGTCTTTCAGTTTACAAGTCTCTAGATCAAGAGGAATCACACCTAAGAAGATGCAACAAAGGAGCCTCAGCAAACCCTAGACAAATGCAGATCACGAGATACTGGACTTTGAATCTGATACCCTAATAGGATCAAGCTTTGGGTGGGGGGATCTTAGAAAAGGATGAGTGTATTTTGATTGTAGGAGGGGAATAAATATTATGGCCACTGAGTATACTGCGACACATTAAATACAAATTCTCTGCATCTGTTCTCATCAAGAGGCTGAGTCTATTGCCCCAACCCTTGAATTAACATGGCCTCATTCACAAGTCTGGTAGTAGGATATCAACTCTTGGCCATGTGCCTCTGTTTCCTTCCATGTGGCCTCTCATTCTTCAGAGACAAGGCCAGCTTCCTCACAGGACAATCTCAGGGGTATTCAAAGTGGAAAAGGTATAAGCTACAAATCATCTCAAGGCATGTGCTCCAGAACACCCCCAAAATCACTTTTGCCCTATTTTATTCATCAAAACAAGTCACAGAAACAGCCCAAATTCAATGGGGGAGGGGATATAGATACTGGCTCTTAACAAGAGGCTCTACAAAGAATTTATGACCATACTTGAATACTCTGGATAAGAGCCTTTCAAACTCTAAGAATATTTTTTAATTAAGTATACAAATGTTTAAAAGAATGAAGATATAGTATTAACATTTTTATATTAAGAAGAATATGCCCTTCAACAGATAAAAAATGAAAGAAATTATAGTATATCAGAGGAAGAGATTAAAGATGGAGGCGTGAGAGGTAAGACAGAGGATTCCTCCTAAAACAGCATATAATATGGAAATATAATTAATACAACTAATCCTGAAAGAGCAACAGGGAAGAGGGCTGTGCCAGACTGCATACACCTGGAGAAAAGAATAAACCTCATGGAACAGGGTAATGTACCAAAGCCATGGCCAGCAGGACCCAAGACACTCCCCCACCTCAGCTCAGGGGCGAGAGGAAGAGAAATGGAGTGGGGAGGAAATTGAGGTCTGGACTGCTGAAGACCTAGGTCTGGAGATCTGCTCTGGGAGCACAAACCTACATTGCATGGTGCTCTCATGATTAGGGCGGGGTTGGAAAACTAAGATAGGCAGAATACCTGGAGAGACTGAGATTCCAGTCGCTTGTGGAAAACAGGGATCCATATCTGGCTGCTCTGGGAGAAAAGAATGGCAGGCAGTCTGAGAGACTTCCTAACCAGCAAGATGGATGCTAAAGGGGCAAGGACTGCACAGAGCTTACTGCTCAGGAGAAAGAACAAGTGGACAAAATTGTCTAGGTGGACTCTACCCAGCAGGTTGGGAACTTTCATGATCTTCAGGTAATCCTAACCCCTGGCTGGCTATGCAGCTGCAAGGCCCCCCTCCATAATACGCAGCCTGCTGTGTCTTCCTCCCAGCCAGCCTGCACCTGGCTTGCAAACTGGCAAACCCTGCACTAGCATTAGGCCAAACAGAAGGAAGCCCTGCCTATAGCAGCTACAAACACAAAGCACAGAGGCTTATACCTGTGTGCTCAGCCCACTGGTTCTGGCAGTAGAGACAGGCATAGCAGCCAGGAAGCAGGAAACAGCTCTTTCCTCCCTGCAGACACCAACACTGCTCTGCTCTGACCCCCAACATTGCTCCAGGGGCTAAGCAGCTCCAGAGAGTAGAGCTTCTGGGCACTAAAGGCTGCCACATAAAAATATGAAATGTCAAAGGAACATGTTTCAAAGCAAAATTATAAATATACCAGAGGAAGAGTCAAATGAAATCAACCTCATGAATCTTCCTGAGATTTCAAAATGAAAATCATAAACATGCTCATGGAGGTACAGAAAAAATTCAAGAACTCAGGAATGAATCCCAGTTGGAGATACAATTATTACGGAGCACAGTATCAGAAAAGAAACATACAATGGAAGGTTTTAAAAGCAGATTAGATATGGAGGAGGAGATGATAAATGAAATATAAAGTAGAGAAGAAGAATACAAAGAAGCCGAGGAAAAGAGAGAAAAAAGGATCTCGAAGAATGAAAAAACATTGAGAGACCTGTGTTACCACTACAAATGGAACAATATTCATATTATAGGGGTACCAAAAGAAGAAGAGACATATAAAGGGATAGAAAGTGTCTTTGAGGAAGTAATTGCTGAAAACTTCCCCATCTGGGGAAGGAGATAGTCTCTCAGGCCAAGGAGGTACACAAATCTCCCAACACAAGGGACCCAAAGAGGACAACACCAAGACATATAATAATTAAAATGGCAAAGATCAAGGGTAAAGACAGACTATTAAAAGCAGGAAGAGAGAAAAACAAGATCACATACAAAGGAAAACCCATGAAGCTGTCATCATACTTCTCAGCAGAAACCTTGCAGGCCAGAGGGAGTGGCATGATATATTTAATCAATGAAGCAGAAGGGCCTCAAACCAAGAATACTTTATCTAGCAAGATCATCATTTAAATTTGAAGGAGGGATTAAACAATTTCCAGATAAGCAAAAGCTGAGAGAATTTAGCTTCCACAAACCATCTGTACAGTGTATTTTGGAGGGACTGCTATAGACAGAAGTATTCCTAAGGTTACATAGCTGTCACCAGAGGTAATAAAAAGGTATAGACAAAGAGTACACAATAAGATACCTAATATATAAAGAATGGAGGAGGAATAAAAGGGGAGGTTAAAAAAAAAGAACCTTTGGATTGTGTTTCTAGTAGCATACTAAGTGAGTTAAGTTAGACTCTTAGATATTAAGGAAGTTACCCTTGAACCTTTGGTAACCACAAATATAAAGCCTGCAATGGCAATAAGTACATACCTATCAATAATCACCCTAAATGTAAATGGTCTGAATGTGTCAATCAAAAGACATAGTTACTGAATGGATAACAAAACAAGACCCAACTATATACTGCCTACAAGAGACTCACTTCAAACCCAAAGACATACACAGACTAAAAGTGAAGGGATGGAAAAAGATATTTCATGCAATTAAGAGATAGAAAAAAGCAGGAGTTGAAGGGCTCTTTCAGGCAAAATGGACTTCAAAACAAGGAAGGACATTACATAATGATAAAGGGGTCAATCAAACAAGATGATATAATCATTATAAATATCTATGCACCCAAAACAGGAGCACCCACATATGTGAAACAAATACTAACAGAATTAAAAGAGGAAATAGAATGCAATATATTCATTCTAGGAGACTTCAACACTCCACTCACTACAAAGGACAGATCAACTAGACAGAAAATAAATAAGGAGACAGAGGCACTGAACAACACATTAGAATAAATGGGTACAAAACTACACCCAAAAGTAGCAGGATACACATTCTTCTGAAGTGTACATGAAACATTTCCAAGAATAGATCATATACTAGGCCACAAAAAGAGCCTCACTAAACTCAAAAAGACTGAAATTGTACCAACCAGTTTCTCAGACCACAAAGGTAAGAAACTAGAAATAAATTATGCAAAGAAAATGAAAAATCCCACAAACACATGGAGGCTTCACAACATGCTCCTAAATAACCAATGGATCAATGACCAAATAAAAACAGAGATCAAGCAACATACAGAGACAAATGACAACAATAATTCAACACTGCAAAATCTGTAGGACACAGCAAAGGCTGTACTGAGAGGAAAGTATATTGCAATGCAGGCCTACGTCAGGTAAGAACAACCTCATATGAACAGTCCAAAATCACAATTAATGAAACTAGAAAAAGAAGAACAAATGAGACCCAAAGTCAGTAGAAGGAGGGACATAATAAAAATTAGAGCAGAAATAAGTAAAATCAAGAAGAATAAAACAATAGAAAGAATAATGAAAGCAAGAGTTGGTTCTTCAAGAAAATAAACAAAATAGATAAACCCCTAGCCAGACTTATCAAGAAAAAAAGAGAGTCTACACACATAAACAGAATCAGAAATGAGAAAGGAAAAACCACTACAGACACCACAGAAATACAAAGAATTTTTAGAGAATACTATGAAAAATTATATGCTAATAAACTGGACACCTAGAAGAAATGGATAACTTTCTAGGAAAATAAAACATTCCAAGACTGATGCAGGAAGAAACAGAAAATCTGAACAGACCAATTACAAGCAAAGAAATTGAATTGGTAATCAAAAAACTACAAAAGAACAAAACTCCTAGACCAGATGGCTTCACTGCTGAATTTTACCAAACATTTCTGAAGACCTAATACCCATCCTCCTTAAAGTTTTCCAAAAAGTAGAAGAGGAGGGAATACTTCCGAACTCATTCTACAAGGCCAGCATCACTCTCATACCAAAACCAAGCCAAGACACCACAAAAAAAGAAAATTACAGACCAATATCCCTGATTAACATAGATGCAAAAATACTCAACAAAATATTAGCAAACTGAATTTCAAAATATATCAAAAAAATCAACCACCATGATCAAGTAGGATTTATTACAGGGGTGCAAGGATGGTACAGTATTAGAAAATCCATCAACATCATGCACCACATCAAAAAAAGAAGGACAAAAACCACATGATCATCTCCATAGATGCCAAAAAAGCATTTGACAAAATTCAACATCCTTTCATGATAAAAACTCTGAACAAAATGGGTATAGAGGGCAAGAACATCAACATAATAAAGGCTATATATAACAAACCCACAGCCAACATCATACTTTACAGCGAGAGGCTGAAAGCCTTTCCTTTAAGGTTGGGAACAAGACAAGGATGCCCATTCTCTCCACTTTTAGGCAACATAGTACTGGAGATCCTTGCCACAGCAATTAGACAACACAAAGAAATAAAGGGCATCCAGATTGGTAAGGAAGAAGTTAAACTGTCACTGTTTACAGATGACATGATATTGTACATAAAAAACCCTAAAGAATCCACTCCAAAACTACTAGATCTAATATCTGAATTCAGCAAAGTTGCAGGATACAAACTTAATACACTGAAATTTGTGGCATTCCTATACACTATCGATGAACTAGCAGAGAGAGAAATCAGAAAAACAATTCCATCCACAATTGCACCAAAAAGAATAAATTACCTAGGAATAAACCTAACCAAGGAAGTGAAAGACCTATACTTTGAAAACTACAAGACACTCATGAGAGAAATTAAAGATACCAATAAATGGAAACACATCTCGTGCTAATAGATAGGGAGAATTAATAGTGTTAAAATGGCCATCCTGCCAAAAGCAATCTACAAATTCAATACAATTCCTATCAAAATACAAACAGTATTCTTCAGTGAACTAGAGCAAATCATTCTAAAATGCATATGGAACGACAAAAGACCCCAAATAGCCAAAGCAATCATGAGAAGGAAGAATAAAGCTGGGGGAATTATGCTCCCCAACTTCAAGCTCTACTACAAAGCCACAGTAATCAAGACAATTTGATCCTGGCACAAGAACAGAGCAATAGACCAATGGAACAGACTAGAGAGCCCAGATATAAACCCAACCATATATGGTCAATTAATATACAATAAAGAAGCCATGGACATACAATGGGGAAATGACAGTCTCTTCAACAGCTGGTGTTGGCAAAACTGGACAGCTACATGCAAGAGAATGAATCTAGATTATTGTCTAACCCATACACAAAAGTAAACTCAAAATGGATCAAAGACCTGAATGTAAGTTATGAAACCATAAAACTCTTAGAAGACAACATAGGCAAAAATCTCCTGAATACAAACATGAGCAACTTCTTCCTGAATGCATCCTCTCAAGCAAGGGAAACAAAAGCAAAAACAAACACATGGGACTACATCAAACTAAAAAGCTTCTGTATGGCAAAGGACACCATCAACAGAACAAAAAGGCATCCTACAGTATGGGAGAATATATCTGTAAATGACATATCTGATAAGGGGTTAACATCCAAAACATATAAAGAACTCACACACCTCAATATCCAAAAAGCAAATAACCCAATTAAAAAATGGGTGGAGGATATGAAAGACAATTCAAAGAAGAAATTCAGATGGCCAACAGGCACATGAAAAGGTGCTCCACATCACTAATCATCAGGGAAATGCAAATTAAAACCACAGTGAGATATCACCTCCCACCAGTAAGGATGGCCAGCATTGGAAGACTAAGAACAACAAATGCTGGCAAGGAGGCGGAGAAAGGGGAACACTCCTACACTGTTGGTGGGAATGTAAGCTAGTTCAACCATTGTGGAAAGCAAAATATAGAGGTTCCTCAAAAAACTAAAAATAGAAACACCATTTGACCCAGGAATCCCACTCCTTGGAATTTACCCAAAGAATACAACTCCTCAGATTCAAAAAGACATATGCACCCCTATGTTTATCACAGCACTATTTACAACAGCCTAGATATGGAAGCAACCTAAGTGTCTATCTATAGATGAATGGATAAGGATGATGTGGTACATATACACAATGGAATACTATTCAACCATAAGAAACAAACCATACCATTTGCAACAACATGGATGGAGCTGGAGGACATCATGTTCAGTGAAATAAGCCAGGTGGAGAAAGACAAATGCCAAATGATTTCCCTCATTTGTGGAGTATAACAACAAAGCAAAATTGAAGGAACAAAACAGCAGCAGACTCACAGACTCCAAGAAGGGACTAGCGGTTACCAAAGGGGAGGGGTGTGGGAGGGTGGCTGTGGAGGGAAGGAGAAGGGGATTGAGGGGTATTATGTTTAGTACTCATGGTGTGAGGGGTCACCGGGAAACCAATGTAGCACAGAGAAGGCAAATAGTGAATCTGTGGCATCTTACTACACTGATGGACAGTGACTGCAATGCGGTATGGGTGGCAACTTGATAATATGGGTAAATGTAGTAACCACATGTTTTTTTCATCTGAAAACTTCTTAAGAGTGTATATCAATAATACCTTAATAAAAAAATTTTTTTAAATGAAAGAAATGAGTGAGGAAGGTATTTATAGATTAAGAGACTTGAAGGTCATATCTGTTAATAACAACGCATGAACTTTATTGGAATCTAGTTAAAAAACAAACTGAAAATATGCATTTGTCACATTTACAAGACAATTGGAAATGTGATCATTGACTCAATATTTGATGTCATTGGGGAATTAGTAATTCTTAGGTACAATATTAGCATTTTCTTTAAAGACCTAAAATTTAGAAATACAAATTGAAATATTTACAGATAAAAATGACAAATCTGGAATTTGTTTAAAAATAATATGGAAGGTGAAGTGAATGAAGGTGTAGATGGGGCAAAGTTGATCACGTGTGAATGGTTTTTAAGGCTGCATGATGGGTACATAGGGATTCATTACACTATTCTATCTACTTTTGTATGTTAGAAATTCTTCATAATAAGTAAGTAAGAGTAAAGACGGACAACTTTGGCATAATGAAGATTTTATATACTTGTACTACTTGTACTATTGAGTAAGATTTGTCCTATTAGAATACAACCGCAATTTAAAATGTGCAACTTGATAAGTTGATTTCAGCTTGATTTCACCTAGTACTTTTCCTATGTTTATATTAGAACACTTGAATATTAAATCTTAAGTATTTAAAGAGAATTTTTAATTCACTAGATTTATCTTGACTTATTAGATTTACAGGAGTCAACCACTTGAGAGAATTTTGTATCAAAGGAACTCAAATATGTTAAATTTCTAAAAGCAGGTGCAAATATTTGAAGACATTTAGGAGTGTAAATGGCACCAAACACCCTCTCAAAATGAACTGCTAAAATTTGCTAGACTTAGAGTAAGATTTATGACTTGAACTTAAAGCCTCAGAAATTTTTATTTTCATTTTTTGACTTTCACAAATCAAACATACATTTTAATGACCAACAGGCTATCAGAAGGTGAAAATAATTTTTTTCCAGTCACCTGAAAACCGTATGTAAGAATAGAAGTATTGCAAAAAAAAGGTTTTTTTTCAATTAGAAGCAGATTATGTGAACAGTACCAACCATTTGCATAATAGCTACATGCAAACTGGCTTCTTCTATTAAAATTTCATCTGTTGGTGACTCCTCATTCGTTTTT